GGGAAATGGATGGATGAATGGACTAGATAGATAAATGTATGGAAGATGCAGTAGCACAGTCATATAGATGAATGGGTGGATGGATGGTTGAACAGATGGGTTATTAAATGGAATCGTATATGCATATGATGGACAGATGGATGATTGATGGCTCAATACTGTAGTTTAATGGCTAGGCTATAGTATGGACATGTTGATAGATGGACCATTGGAAGGATGGATTGATAAGGGAATGGATGACAGTCTATTACTGAATTCTTTCTTTCACTGTTCATTTCCTTCATGGCTAGGAGCTCTTCCAATTCAAAGCAGAATTCAAGAAGCACCATCGCACCATAGAAGACAAGCAAGCATCACCTAAAAAGAAAAGTGAAGCTTTCTTTGAGTTAAACAGACTTTCTACTGTGCTTTATCACTATACTGGAATAGCCAAGGTAGTAACCATACTATAACTATGCCCTATTGTTCACATATTGTATTTTGGTATAATTTTAGACTTGAATTAATATAGAGTTTCACATGCTGTGATTGGTCTATCAACCAGTTTTCACTGGTCGAGGTTTGCCATAGATTGCCAATTAAAAAATTTGGTTTTTATTCTGAATTTCGTCTTTTTCTGGTATTCTGAAGTCTAAAATTATGCTAGTTTTATCCACCTCTCGCTCAGTGAATATGGGGATTAATATTCATCAGTATTCAATATTCAAAATGTAAGATTCTCTTGTGTCTTTGTTTGTTTGTATGTTGATGTTCAATTGATACTAAAAAGAGAAAGGGAAGTATAGATTCACCTAAAGTATTCTGGTATGATAATTAAACCAGTGTTGTCCATTCTTCCACAGGCTGGTTCTATACAGCACTATATAACTGATCTTCTTGATGGCATGGAAAACAAGTTTATTGTATTCTGTCGGCACAAGCAAGTTATTATGGCTGTCATTCAACTGTTATCCAAAAAACATGTGAAGTATATACACATTGATGGCAGCGTTCCTTCTTCTGTTAGAGGGGTTAGTTCTTTTCTTCCTTTCTTTCTTCCTATTGCCTTTTTTCATTCATTTATCTATCCATCCTTTCTTTTTTTCTTTCCCTTTTTTCTCCTTCTCTCGTTCATTCTCCTTCCATCTCTGTTAAATTCAAATGCGTTGATGTTGAAGGACGATATCTTAATCGTTTTTTTTTGCAGACACTGGTGACCCAGTTCCAGAATGACCCATTAATACGTGTTGCAGTGCTTGCCATTGAAGCTGCTTCGTTCGTAAGTTGGTATACTGTTATCTCAAAGATTTTGTTTTGCTACCTACTCTCTGTGGGATGTGGACTTAGACAAGTCCTGTCATTCACTACACCATGCTGGAGGACAACTGCCGTGAAAATGAATGGTTTACAAACATCACTCCCTGTAATGGGCTCTATCCTTAAGCTGCTCCACACTCACTACCACTACACTTTGATTTTTACGTAGAAAAGAAAACTGGAGAAAAATAATACATCAAACAAACTTTCTAAAAAATTTTCTTTGTTTCAAGGGATTGACATTAACAGCTGCTGATCACGTGGTGTTTGCGGAGCTCCACTACACGCCTGGTGTGATGATGCAAGCAGAAGATAGAGCACACAGGATTGGACAAGTCAATGCAGTCAATGTCCATTATCTTGTAGGGAAGGGGACATTGGACGAGGTCTTGTGGGGAATGCTCAGGAAAAAGGTTAAGTTCTTTTTCGCTAAATATATGCTTTGAACTATGGCCACGCTCGTTGATTTTAACACATGTAGCAGGTTGCTGTTGGTAGCAACAGCAAAAGCAACTTTATCAAAAACAGCAAAAACAACGACAGCAGCAGTAGCAACAACAGCAGAACAAAAATAACAAAAGCAGCAGCTGCAGCAACAGCATGACAGCAGAACAACAACACAAGCAGCGGCAGTAGCAACATGAACAGCAGCAGCAACAGCAGCAGAACGTCAACAATAGCAGCAACAATGACATGGAAACTAAGCGATACAACATAAAGGACAACATTTCCTTAACAGTGCAAAAAGGAGCACAAGAGAAAACCAGTACCACATAACTGTTCTTGCTCCTCCATTGCTAACTATATTCCTCGCTCATTCTGATTGGTTGATTCTCTCAGATCTACGTGACAAGCAGCGCACTGGATGGCAAGCTAGATGAATTACATGCAGACGAAGGAGATGAAGAAATATCCAAACAGTTATCAGCCTGTGCAGCGTGGTTGAGAGAGGAATCTGTAGACAATGATGAGGACTTGCAGGGATACTTGTTTTCACAGGTTGGTACACCTTCCTTCGCAATGATGGTATATTGTACTGCATGTAAATGACATAAGACACAAGATGATAACGTTGATGATAGTAATGATGATGGTAGTTATGATGATGATAATAAAGATGGTGTTGTTGGTAGTGGTAGTGGTGTGGGGTAGTGGTAGTGATGGTGATGATGGTGTCTTGGTAATGGTGATGATGATGATAAAGATGGTGGTGTTGGTAATGGTGGTGGTGATGGTGATGGTAATGGTGATGATGATGATAAAGATGGTGGTGNGGTGGTGTTGGTAATGGTGGTGGTGATGGTGATGGTAATGGTGATGATGATGATAAAGATGGTGGTGTTGGTAATGGTGGTGGTGATGGTGATGGGGATTGTGATGGTGATAGTGATGGTAATGGTGATGATGATGATAAAGATGGTGGTGTTGGTAATGGTGGTGGTGATGGTGATGGTGATGGTGATGGTGATGATGATGATAAAGATGGTGGTGTTGGTAATGGTGGTGGTGGTGGTGATGGGGATTGTGATGGTGATGGTGATAGTTCTTGTCATGATAATGATAAAGGTGTTGTTGGCGATGGTGATATTGATTGTGATAATGATAAAGATGGTGGCGTTGGTAGTGGTGATGCTACATGTCGTGATAATAATAAAGTGGTAGTGACCACGACAAAGAAGATGATGATAAGAGGATGATCGATGGTGGTTGGTGGTAATCGTGAGGGTGATGACCCTCAGCGTGTTTTTCTATCAAATTCTTTCAGAAACCAAAAAAATCCAGGAATAAAATAGAGGGACACAAAGATGTACGAACGTATTTTACTCCACCAATATCAACCAGCAAACCTTCTGAAATATCACTCCTGGATTCAGACGAGGATATGGTGGACGTCCCTTCGTCCCTTCCCTGCACGAAGAAAGAGTCTGTAGACAATACGACTATGTCAATCGACGATAGTAGTGAAGATGGAAATGACGAGTATGATGAAGGTAATAATGTTTTTTCTCTTAGAATGTATCGGTTGTCTTCAGTTGATGCCGGCAGGGACGTCAGTTTGTGTTGAAATTTTAATTTACTTCGAATCGTCAGCAAGCTCCATTTTTATTTGGATATCGTATATTCTATTCTGCAGATGAGTTAGCCAGTATGCTGGTAGAGGAGAATGACAGCCCAAATGAAAGCGAAACCTCGTCAAGCAAGACCGCTAAAGCTGAAAAGAACCTTTCTTCCTGTGACAAGAATTCCAAAAAAGGAAAAATAATGGAGAAAATAACGCAAGTGGCCCGCGTTAAGAACTCAATCAAAGATGTGAATGCTCATTTGTATGATTACAGCGAAGTGGTGGACAGCGAAGAGATTTTCCAGTCTTACATTGGTGATAATGATGATAATGATGACGACGATACCGATGAAGGGGATGATGACGATGACGATGACTTGAAAGCACAAAACCAAAGCTGTCAATTATCGTTGTCATCATCTTCTTCCAATCTAAACAGCAGTTCTAGTCCAGAAAATTCAGAAAATGATAAGAAACCTTCCACTTCGTTAAAAGATCGGACGAACATCGACAGAAGCATCACAACCAATCGTCCAGATCCAGAAGATAAAGAGTTTGAGACAACGAAGGATGAGTCACTGGAACGATCAAGAAAACGAAATCCATTCTCTCTCAGAAATAAAGGAATGAGTGACAAGATATTTTCTTCCAAGTTGTTGGAAAGTGATTCAGATGATGACGACTTTGTTGATCCGACGCCCAAATCATCTCAAGAACGAAAATACGAACCAGTACCTAACACTTGCACCCAAAGGGATAAGGAACCGGTCCTCAGTAACTCATCTACCAAGTCTTTCGTCAATGCAAAACAAACATTACCTCTGAAGAAGAAGAAGAAAAAATCAAAAACACGGGCGAGAACTTCCGATGCAGCCCCATGGTCTTGCGGGGCTTGCACGTTCATCAACGATCCACAGATGATAGAGTGTTCAATGTGTTTTACTTCAAAACAACCGAAAAAACTAGTCGTTAATAGCGAGGAATCCATCAAAACGTCAGCTGATTTTAACGAGAATGACCAAAAATTATTTGCCACCAAAATCGAAGACAAAACGTCAGATTATTTTTCTGGAAATTCTACAAATACAGGAACTCCAGAAGACACTGAAGCTTCTACAAATTCTGTTTTATGTAAAGATGAAAGTAGCTCAATGGATTTATACCAGCCGTCTAGTAAACTAGAACGAGAAGAGGATGAGAGAAACGACTTTAAGACGAAGAGCTCATCTGTGTTTAAAAACAACTCTCCAACAAACTTGTGCGACGACGAAGATTTAGACGACTTTAGTGGATCATTCTTGCAATGGTCGTGTTCTGCTTGTACGTTGTTGAACGATGCAATGCTTAATGAGTGTTCCGTGTGCATGACGCCAAGAAGACGAAGCCAGAGAAAGACGAAAAGTAGATGGTCAACTTGGAGTTGTGAGAAAAGACGACTAGAGAGATACGAGAAGTCATATAAGAAACAATCCAACACGCAGAAGGCTAAGGAGGACCATGACAGCAAAATGGGGATATCTACGGCGGAAGAAGAACACAGTGAAATTGGTACTTGCATTGATGGAAAACTAACAGACCGACAAGAAGCTGCTCCTCCTAGTAAAAGTACCACCAAGTCAAGACAACGAACTCGAACTAGAAAGAAGCTGAATATGGGAGACCAAGTTGAGCGAACGTTGCTTGTCGATGAGAAAAGCATGTCTGTAGATAAGGGTCAGATATGTGCGACTGCCGACAAGGTTGAGGGAATGGGCGAGGAAAAATGTAGGCAAAATGATGCGGAGGAAGGAGAACAAGTGTGTGATAGGACAATAAAGTCTGGAGAAGGACATGAAGAAACCGAGGAAAATCCTTTTCTACTGGAGTTTTCTGATTCTGATGACACCGAGGATGACAGAGGCTCTCATGTCAAGGAGAGCTTGTGTGGTACGAGGACAGTACACGTGGGGCGAGAAGGGAACAACATGTTCAATGGGACACAAGAACAAACAATGAGAGGAGAAGAAATCATAGATACCAGCGATGAAAAGGACGGCACTAGTTGTGACCATGGTTTAGGGAGCAAGTCGGTCAAGTTGGCGGAACAACAAGGACGAGAAGACAATGAAGATATTCATGACGGAAAGGAAAGCTCGAGTTGCGAAAATGATCTCTTAAAACCTCATGAAGACAGCCAATTGATTATTGCAGAACAACAAAAAACAAGAGAATCCATAGAAGACGATGAAGACATCCATGACGGAAAGGAATGGTTGAGTTGTGAAAACGAGCCGACAGAGCCTCATGAAGACAGCAAATTGACCATCGCTGAACAACAAAAAACAAGAGGAGAAAAAACCATAGAAGAAGATGAAGACGTCCATGACGGAAAGGAAAGGTCGAGTTGCGAAAACGAGCCGACAGAACCTCATGAAGACAGCAAATTGACCATCGCTAAACAACAAAAAGCAAGAGGAGAAAAATCCATAGAAGACGATGAAGACATCCATGACGGAAAGGAATGGTCCAGTTGTGAAAACAAGCCGTCAGAACCTCGAGAAGACTACAAATTAACAAAAATTGCAGAACAACAGACACCGAGAGTAGATAAAAACATTGATGATGATGACAAAGTCATTCCGACCGAAAGGAAGAGCATTTCCCCGTGTAACAATGGCCAGCTAACTAATTCTCCAGGCCAAGATAATTCAAAAAACACTGCAGACCAAAAAGAGAGCGAAAAGGAAGTCGTAAGTAAAGAACAAGACAACATGACAGAACAGCAAAGACAGGAGAGAGAAGGAGTTAATGTTGAAAGAAAAAATTCAAAAAACACTGCCGACAAAAAAGAGAGCGAAAAAGTAGTCGCAAGTAAAGAAGAAGACAACATGATAGAACAGCAAAGTGGTGACACCGAGGACGACAGCTTGTCTAACACCAAGAAACCTGATGAAGAAGAAAGTCTGCAAGAACTACAAGAAGCTGCTAAAGAAATCTTCGGAGGTGATGACGATTTTGACGACTTGTCTATGGAAAATGATTTTGTTAACGATGTTGTGGTGAGAAAGCCCAAGGACCCTCCTGAGCCAATCACGCTACAGTTCTCGCTGAGTTTGTACACAGACCGTGTATATCTTTATGATGAGGTAAGGTGTATAGGACTTGCAATTTTGAAGTTTCCTATATTCGTGGTTAACCTAAATCTTATTACAGGGATCATGCTACTCTTCAAACTCCTTGAAAACTCCTTGAATTTAATTCACGTTTTCAAGGGCACTTGAAGAGCTTTGAATTTTATGATTTTAGCGAAACTCCTTGAAAAGTCCTTGAATTTTTGCTTGATCATTACTTGCTTAGTTCTGAAATAGATCTAATCAGAAAGATTAGAAAATATGAAAGTCGCCGGGCCATGTGCACTACTGAACCACCGTGTAAAACCTTGGCATAGTTAGCTGAACATACTCCTTGAAAATTCATTTTTGGGTCCTTGTATACTCCTTCAATAGTCCTTGAATTTTAATTGGTTACCTGAGGACGAACCCTGTTATTAAATGCTGGTCCAGATCAACGAGCGCAGCGCGGGCGCCCAAAGATGCATGGGAGTGAAATGATATACGGAATTTTGTAATAAACGAGGACTGCGCGCGTAAAACAATAACGACGTGTAAAAGTTTTTATTTAACGACAAGTTTATTCATATACTAATCAGAAAAGTTTTTATCCCTTGCAGAATGATCATTTCTTACAATCAAGCTTCACGATGAGTGACGTAAAGAATAATAACAAAGACGACCTGCCCCATATTCTGCAGCATGAATACAATTACAAACAAGCAAAAAGAATAATCCAGGAGTGGGATAGGTAAATGTATCTAGATAAGTAAGGCTTAGGTCAAACGTCGAACTTCACATGGGCAGAACCTAATTGAAACAATGGACAATGATTTGATGTTCGATTTTGACCCGTGTTATTCGATATTTTAATCCATTCGATTTTGACCCGTGTTATTCGATATTTTAATCCATTCGATTTTGACCCGTGTTATTCGATATTTTAATCCATTCGATCTTGACACGTGTTATTCGATATTTTAATCCATTCGATTTTGACCCGTGTTATTCGATATTTTGA